GACCTTTACATGAACTTTCCCATTAATGTACATCACACAGATGTGGGAAGGTCAGTTTATGACATGTTGTGTCAACAGAAAGAGACAGCAGAGTATNTAGTGAAAGAGACGCTAAAGGAGTCAGATGTGGCTTTAGGATGTGTCTGATAGGTCTTTATTCTCTAAAGCAGATAAAAAGGGACTGATCAGCTATAAGATGAAGATTTGGCAGAACATACAGGTTATAAATTGGCATGACGTCTATATGAAATGCAGATAAATGTGTGTTGGAAAGAAAATGTCCATTTAACTTTATCCTGAACTTCATACAAAAGGAGGAAACACAAATGAAAGCTGTTATTGTGGACTGAAACACTCTCACGTATATTAGTGTAATGTCAACAACAAATATTCCAGCAGTTTCAGTCACTAAAAATTGGGGTGGGAAAACCCTTTCACTGTTACATTGCAGAAAAGCAAAAAGCAAAATGACAATGATTACATATTTGAAAGAGCAGAAGAGATGAAACAGATTAGACCTCCCCGTCTCTCCAGTCCTCAACTCAGCTGCACTCCACCCTCCAGTCCAGTAGGTGACAGAATCTGCACCTTTACACTGTTTGCCAAACACCAGTAAACAGAAGAAGAAAGTTGTTTGAAAACGCCTCATCTTAAACCCTTCAGAAACCCTGCTGTTTCCAGCTCTCAGATAAGACCAGTTTCTGATGATCTTGTGTAAATGATTGTCTGTGCAAATGATGTGGAGTTTTGTTGATTAGTCTTTAATGAGGTTATTGGTTTGTGGAGGCTTGTGTTTATACTGTAACTCTTATATTTGTCTGAGAACATGTTAAAGATAAAGCAGCATCTGTCTAGTGCAATACCACAGCTGAGCAAGAAGACAAGCACAAGAATAAAATCCCCACATTCTCTCCATCAGCTCATCTACAGATCAGATCAGTGAAGCGAGTGATCAGCTGTAACTCTCGGCCTGTTTGTTGGCTGAGTGTTAGAGAAATGATGGTGAATACACCACAGCTCTGTGTTTAATCTGTCTCAGACACCATCAAGCAGATCTACAATAGTGGAGGAACCCTTTCTGCTTACCTGGTGATGCTGACCGGCCGAGAGGAGCAGGAGAGAACACACGGACAGGTGAACCGCTGAGCAAACACTGGAGGAGAAACACACAGGTGGGTGAAACAGCAGGTAGAGCTCTTCTTCTTGTCTTATTGGCGGTTTGCATTCTTAAACAGAGCATTACCGCCCCCTACTGTGAGTTGTGGGTCAGAGACTGAATTTCCTTTTCCTCTGGACTCTTCAAGGCAGAGTTCTGATCTGACTGTGTGCTTTCAGAGAGGCTGTGATTGCGGTGCAGGTCAGTGTAATGCTGCAGAGTGTACCTGCGGTGGAGTGTGATGCTGAGCATGGAAACCCTACAGGTGAAACACACCTCTGCTTTGCTTTAATCTGGATATCTTGTGTTGAGTGATTTCATTAATGAAGGAGTCTTTGCTTTCACAACACCTGAGTGAAGTATTCCTGTTCATGTTATCAGTCTTCTGTGATGGATCTTCTGTCTGTCACTGGTGTTTTCTGTTGAGTTTATTCCCGGTCAGCTGTCATAGTAATGTCTTGATTAGCTGCTTCAGGTGTGTTGAATTAGAGTTTGCATGTAAACTGTTCTGTTCTGCTTCTGACTGACCTGTATGATGTGTGTTTCAGATGTAGAAATCCTGCTTCAGCTTGCTCTCCTCGCTTCATTTAACAGTAGTGGTGGGCAAAGTGAGGCTTCATGAAACTGAAACAGTTGAAGCAAATGTGTCAAAGCTTTGAAACGTTTCAAAACTCTACAGTGACACCTAGTGGTAATTGTTATACATTGCTCTGGAACAGTTTCAGCAAAGAACAATTGAGCAAATTGAGGTATTAAAACCCACTTTGTACCTTTGAACCTACAAGTGTTATAGCAGAGCGGTCAGAGTTCCTGACTATCATGCAGGGATACTGGGTTCGAATCCAGGCAAATGCAGCTATGTTGAAATGCTCTGTTCTTGTATTGTTTTGTTTCAACATTGGTCAGACATCAGAATAAACACTATTTGTGAATAAATATGTCTTGTTTTGGTCATTAAACAGGGTTGTTGTTAGATCAGACACAGTTGTGGTCAGAAGTTGACAAGACTTATTTATACTATTATTGAAATTCCTCATTTATTGTATTTTAATACCGTCTACTCAAACGCTAAACCCAACCGTCACAGTGCTGTAAAAATATGAATTATTGCTATACAGTCTTACACAAATGATGCTGTATTGATGGTGTATCCGCAGCTGTATCCTATCTAGCTACATCATAACACAGTAGCATTATTAAAATAGAGAAAATCCTGATTTTGGAGCATTTGTACAAAGCAGGATTCAAACCCAAAACCCATTTGAAGCACAGTAACAGCATGCACATGCACGGTCCACTAGGCTATATAAGACAGAAGTGTTTTAGACCCAGTCAGTCAAATGCAGATTCGCCAGGTCTCAGAACGGTTCTGAAATGATGTTAAAGAGCACAATCACAGAAGGAGAGAATGAGAAATAAACACATACAGCAACAGCCTCACACCAAAGCAACTGATTTAAACACCTCCACAAACAGCATCAGCAGCTCCACTGAAAAACATTTGATAATGAACAGCGCTTTTATTTCTTTATTGATTTTTTTCCAGTTTGACCTCACCATCATGGAGATCAGAGGCTGCTTTAGTTGGGCTCTTGATCCTTTACTCTTCTATCTTATTGTTTCTGAAACTCATCAGCTATGGCAATAAAGGCAATGAGAAGCTTTATGTAAATATTTGTTACAGCTATAATCGTTAGTGATCCATAACTTAAATAAAACAATTGCAGGTTTATGTGACGTGGTTTGGGGCATTTGGAAAGTTTCCCATGGAGAGTCAACAAACAAGAATTAATTAAAATTAATTAATATAGTTTCATACGCAAAACCTTGAGAGCTCAAGAAGCACATTTAAAGGTTCAGGACACCCTGGAGAACTTTTTTTTATATTAACAGATGTGTGTGTGTGTTGAGCATCAGTTAAGACGATGTGATGTTAGCACCTGTCAGCTTTAATTGTGGGGAAAACTGGATAATTTTGAGCTTTTGTCATCTAATTTCAGCTTCCGGGTTTAAAATGATTTTTGGGGCGGATCGAAATTGGCGACGTAGCACAGTACTGCAAGTGCAATGATGACGCGTCGGTTTCTCATTATTATTCATAGCGGAGTTTTCTTATCCTATGAGAAGAGCCGGCTGCTTAATTATTCATGAGAGCACGTGCTTTCCGAAGGCAGACCTGCCAGTTTCAAGCAAGCTGTGAGACACGAACCCACGGCACGCAGTAGCCGTTCATGAAGGCTTGTATGTGTTTGTTTCCATGATCCACGGGGTTTGTTGCATGTTTTTTTCCCCGCGATCTTGTCAGGGCTGATACAGCAAAGCTGTGTGTGTGCTGCAAGCATTTTTGTCGGGAGAGCAGTACGAGAATTGAAGAATGGCAGACGTTGACTTTTATCAGGAGTTCGTTCACATTCAGACACATCGCTGTGCTGCTGTGTTTGCCTAAATCCTCTATATTACCAGCAGGGCTAATGGTTAAAATAGACAGGTCAGGAGACCTGCTGCACTGAGTCTACATTCAGATCTATATTTAGACCCGGGGATCAAGGGAGAATCCTCATTTATAGGGTTTACATGAACACACTTATCTTTATAATGATATAAATTGTGGTTATGTGTATATGAAATTACAAATAACAAATGTAGCAGGGCATTAAATTACTGTTTATTCCTTTGCATTTTAACTTTGAGAACTATAAACTCATGCGTCTCCTCGCGGTTTGTCTCATTTTGTGAGCTGTCAACAACAGTTGTTCGCTCCCCTTCAATCCTGCTGGCCACGCCCACTCCTGCCCTGTGCTCGCGGAGCTCCGCCCATTAATCATGCATCTTTTGAAACAATTCTGAAGTAGACTTTAACCAAAAGTGGGGGGTGTCATGACCCTTTAAGACACAAAGACATCAAGAATCAAGATATGAACGTTAACCATGGTTACTAAAATTAAAAAGCTGCATGATTCATCCATGCCACAATGCATGCTGGGTACATAGTACAAAACTCCCAGCATGCATTGCTGCATAAATAAAATAAGCCGCTTAAAGTTTTTGAAATGTCTTTCTTTGCCTTTAATGTGTGCTGTTCTTGGCTG